GATATATAACAAAGTATTGAGATGAACTTTTGATATTGACCAAATACTTATTTTCCACCATAATTTGCAAATAAATTCTTTCTAATTCAGCCAATGTGATTGTCTGGATTTTTTTTTTCTCATTTTGTCTCTCATAGTTGAGGTCTACCTATGATGCCAATTACAGGCCTCTCTCATCTTTGTAAGTGGGAGAACTTGCACAATTGGTGGCTGACTAAATACTTTTTTGCCCCACTGTATGTGTCCTGATTGGAAAGATTCACCCCTCTATTTGTACTGGTGATCATTGTCACCAAGAATGAAAGTGGGAAATCCAACATTTTAGAGCTGTTCCAGGAACAAGGGGTGAGTGGACGCCTTCCAATGGGTACATCTGTCCTAGGGACAACTGTATAAGAGAGACATTTCCCTCACTTTGGATATTTTCAGATCAGATCGGACAGGTAGTCCATTTACATCCAAACGCCCCTTAGAGAAAAGCAGGCTTTGTGTAGGTCCGCTCTACACAAGCAGAGTGGACAAGGACCTGTCATCTGTCTGCTCAGTGGGGATCCACTTGACGGAGTCTGCTTTGTGTGAAAGTGGCCTAAAAGGTTCTAAACAGAGAAAGACACTCCACTCAAGGTTTTGCACCTTACTGAAAGCTGAGTTTTCTGATTTTAAACTGCGGGTGTCAGTGCGGTACAGAGATTGGTGCTGGAGTAAGAAAAGATGGGTGACTCTGGGGTTGATTTACTAAAGGCAAATATACTGTGCACTGCAAGTACACTTCAAGTGCAGTTGCTCCAGAGCTTAGTAAATGAGGCAAAGCATCACTTTGCAAAGAATTCCCAATCACACGCAAGGAAAATAAAAAGCAGCATTTTTACTTGCACATGATTAGATGGAAGAAATCGGCAGAGCTTCCTCTCATTTCAGAGCACCCCCTCAGATCTAGAGCAACTGCACTTGCAGTACACAGTGTATTTGCCTTTAGTAAATCAACCCCTATGTGCGCCTACAAACACTTCAAAATGTTTAGCCAAAAGGCTGGGAATTTGATGCTCCGTTTGATCTACCCCATGAGGAAAGGCTTCATGCAACTTTTTTTTGGAAGAATAAGTTTATAAGCTTATCTAAGATTTCTGATTGTCTCATCAAACTCTGATATCTTTATATGTTGCCCCTTTACACCTGAGCTCTATGGGGATCTGTGATCTTCCCATATGTTTCTCTGACAGCAGTATACAGTGAAAGAAATAAGTATTTGATTCCCTTCTGATTTTGAATTTTTGCCCACTCACAAAGAAATGATCAGTCTAAAAATCGAATGGTAGGTGTATTGAACCTTCTGCCCTCAGCCAGGGCACTGAAAATGGGTCGTGGATGGGTGTTCCAGCATGACAATGACCCAAAACACATGGCCAAGGCAACAAAGGAGTGGCTCAAGAAGAAGCACATTAAGGTCCTGGAGTGGCCTAACCAGTCTCCAGACCTTAATCCGATTGAAAATCTGTGGAGGGAGCTGAAAGTTTGAGTTGCCAAGGTCAGCCACCAAACCTTAATGACTTGGAGAGGATCTGCCAAGAGGAGTGGGCCAAAATCCCTCCAGAGATGTGTGCAAACCTGGTGGCCAACTACAGGAAATGTCTGACCTCTGTGATTGCCAACAAGGGATTTACCACCAAGTACAAAGTCATGTTTTGTGAAGGGGATCAAATACTTATTTCCTTCATGAACATGGAAATCAGTGCATAATTTGTTAGACATGCATTTCTTTTGAATTTTTTGTTGCTATTCTGTCTCTGTGTTACAATACACCTACCAGGGGCGGACTGACCATTTGGAAACTCGGGCACTGCCCGAGGGCCCAGGGTCAGTTGGGGGCCCCATGAGATGCCCCTGGTACCTTTTTCATAGGCTTTTTGAGTTTGGGCAAGGACACAGGGGCCCCATGATCCCCTTTTTCCCAGGGGCCCTGTGAGTTGTCAGTCCACCCCTGACACCTACCATTCGATTTTTAGACTGATCATTTCTTTGTGAGTGGGCAAACATTCAAAATCAGCAGGGGATCAAATACTTATTTCCTTCACTGTATGTACTATACAGTATCATTCCCCTCCCCCACTCCATGGAGAACCCCCTTTTGCGTGACATTGCCCTTTCAACAACTTTTAACCGTAAGCAGATATTAATTGCACAATTGATATAAGAAAATAATTGAGAATTATACAGAAAGCATGTCATGATCTAAAGGTGTGGAAAGAAGTAAAAGTTTTTAAAACAAAGTCACGTTTGATGGATCAGATAAGCAGGCGTCAGCCTGACCTAGCTGCTTAAACAAGGGTTACTTTTTGTTTTCACCAGCTATTCAAGTGAACTGGAGCAAAGGTTACCAATTACCTAGGGTTGAAGACAAAGTTGTAAAGATCTGCTCTTAGCTGCCACCTTACATTAGAATCAGTGCACATACAGGTAGAATGTCAAGTGTCATATATTGATTTCATTGTATTGCTTGTCTATTATTATTAGGTTTACAATCTGAAATCCTTTACGTGAAAGAATGCAGCAGGTATGGAATCTTCTACTTGGAATGCATATACACTCACACTGCCAATCACATGGCAGCAACTCAATGCATTTAGGCATATAGATGTGGTGAAGACGACTTTGAACGTGACATGGTTGTTGGTGTCAGGCGGGCTGGTTTGAGTATTTCAAAAACTGATCTACTGGGATTTTCAAGCACAACCATCTCAAGGGCATAAAGAGAATGGTCCGAAAGAGAAAACATCCAGGGATGGCAGTTGTGTGGGTGAAAAGTGAATCTGTATGGGAGTGTTTTTAAAATTATCAGTCAGCTGCTGTACCTGCAGGGCTCTACTGAGGAAATTGGCAAGGTTTGCATTCCTGTAGACTTTGTTTCCCTTTGGGAGTATGTCAGTAAAAATGAAATTTTTGTTGCAGGGGATGCTCAAAATCTGATTTGCATCTTAGTGCAGACTTCTGGGGAAATTAGTAAGCAAATCACACAAGCAGACAAATTACATATCTGGGGGGGGGGGGTGTTCTGTACACCATCTGTGTACAAACCACCTCCAGGTAGCCATATTGCATTGCATTCTATGCAAAATTACAGCGCTGCAGATTAAAAAGGAAGTTTAACATTCAATTACAATATGGCTTGTGTCACAATTGCATACTCTATATGAATTTGTTTTATTTGTCCTGCGGAAGTGGGGTTACCCTTTAAAGCAAAAAGTAGTATATAGAAAATTTTAAGTGTCAACTACAGCAGCTTACCTAACAAATGCCTTACTTCTTCTGGTTATTCATTCCTATGGAAAAGCCATCTTTCATGTGTCCAAATGATAGATGGCCTATCCACTGAAATAAATGAGATTTTGTAGTGTATGTGCAGAAGGGGTAGGGATGAGAGTCTACAATGGCAGCAATGCAACAGGTAAGAATAAGACTTTAGGGTTGTACTGGGGAAAAGGGGGTAAGTTAAGGGGCAACTAATATAAAAGTACAGTTCCTTTAACCACTTGCACTCCAGAGGATTTACCCCCTTATTGACCAGACCATTTTTTGTGTGGCAGCACTGCGTTACTTTAACTGACAATTGCGTAGTCATGCAACGCTGCACCCAAATGAAATGTATGTCCTTTCCCGTGAATATAGCTTTCTTTTGGTGGTATTTAATCGCCTGCACGGTTTTTATTTTTTGCGCTATAAAAAAAGCGACAATTTTGAGGAAAAAAAATATTTTTAACTTTTTACTATTAAACAAATTTAAGAAAATCAAATTTCGTCAGAAATTTAATTCAGAATGTATTCAGCTAAGATAAGAAACTTTGCCATAGATTAAAGAAGAAAAAAATTGTATAAAGAGCATCGCAACCCAAGGCAAAAATTTTACATGTTACAGATTACCAGCCCCTAGATTGGTGGTGGCTGCTGCCAACAATAATTTTAGGCATCTTCCCATGTTAATCCTGCCAGACAAATGTTTTTTTTTCAAGGTCTTTTAACAGACCAAGCTGTGAAGCAAAAGTGGCAGTTAGAGGGCTGAGACAACTCATTTATCACTGACTGGGATGCTTACAATGGTCAGCTTTTAATCATTTAGTTAAAACCTTTATGCCAAAAGGAAAAATAAACTGTTTCCACATCTGCCTAAAAAGGGTTTGCTAGTCCTAGGCTTTAATTTGTTAATAAAAAGACATCCCGTGTAACTTAGGGTGTGGTTGCCATCATCCCAGGGAGGGACTGACCATTTAGGCACTCGGGCACTGCCCGAGGGCCCAGGGTCAGTAGGGGGCCCCATGAGATGCCCTGGTACCTTTCATTGGCTTTTTTGGTGTGGTTTGAGTGTGGGCGAGGACACGGGCCCCATGATTTCCTTTTGCCTGGGGGCCCCATGATTTCCTATTGCCCGGAGTCCCCATGAGTTGTAAGTCCGTCCCTGCATTATCCCCATTTTTCTAATAGAATTGTACCTTACATTTGGTGGGATTTGTAACCTCCCTGGCGGTATGATTATTTCAGATTTTTGGTGCTGAAAGCGGTACCATTATTTTGTATGGAAATTTGGCGTTTTATATTGTAGGCTGTAATTTTTAGAAATAACTCACTGAAATCTGTCCGAACAAGAGTTAAAATTTGAAAAGCAAAATCATAAATTATAATTTAATAAATAATCATAAAAAATAATAATATAATAATAATAAATTTAATTCATTAATATCAAACCAAAACACTGAAATTTGAAATATAGCGCCAAGTTTGCACATCTTAGTCGCAAAATCGTTTTCAGTGTCTGATGACGAATTTCCCCACGAATCATTATCACTCAATTCTGCAAGTGGTTCTAATTTACTATCGCTGTTCTCTAGTCAGTCTAAAACCGCTTTTGACCTAAAGGAACGCTTTTTGGAATCCATGGACATTTTTCAGTTTCCAGGCAGAAAGAACAGTAAGAATGCAGGCAGGGCGCAGGACAAAGCACTCGGGACAAAATGTATGTGAAATGGTTTGATACAGTAATGTTTTACTATGTGATTTTAATGAATGTCACTTTTTGTCATTTTCAAATTTCCCGCCGTTCAGTCCCCCATACGTCCCGACACTCGCAGGGGACGGAACCCAGGTGACAGATGCCGGCATCCACCGGAGGACATTGCCAGGGAAACTGCAGGAGGGACATCGCGGGAGCACAGGACAAGGTAAGTGATCGAGGGATCCCGGAGCCAAATGGTAAGCCCGAGTGTAGCTCGGGGTTACCGCTTGTGGTACTGAAACTTTACCCCGAGCTACACTAGGGAATACCGCCATGGAGGCTATGGCAACCTTAAAGTATATATAAACCAAACAATTGTTTAAAAAGATTTGACATTTTGTTTGACACATCAACACATATTTCTCCAATAGAATATAACAATTCTTGACAGCATATTTGCTTGACAATATTTGTAATTATTGCATTAAATAGTTAGTGGTATCCTTTGAAGCTGATTTCCATCTTGCAACCTCAATTTTTGGGACTACAAAAGCATTCAGCCTAAATCCAAGGCATTTCGAATACTTTAGCGCAGATTCGTCCTTAGGAAAGGATACCACTCTAAAACAATAATTGTCAGTAGTTAAACCTTTATACATATTGTTTATAGTTCAAACATTGAGACACCAACTTTACAAAATGTATAACTTCATTCCACCAAAATTGGTCAAAACGAGAATGCTTTACTGTGTTTTGGAGAATGAGTCCCCCCCGCACACACATAGGATGAGGTCATCGCTTGATATGCAGGAACCACAGGTGCCACGTTAGAATACTGTAGTAACAAAGCATATCAATTAATATGATGTGCTGAGAATATATAACATACAGCATCAAAACATATCTAGGAAAAAACTTTTCATTTTATTTCATATAATATCAATAGGGACCAAAAATTTATTAAACAGATATTTAAACTAATTTAATTGTCGCTCCACAATTTAGAGATGTACTCTCAATAATAACTACAGGTGTACCTCGGTTTATGAACACCTTGGTTAATGTAATTTTTGATTTACGAATGAAAATCCATTGAAAATAATGCCTTGGTTTACGAATTTTATTAATTTTTTTTCACAATACAAAGTGTATGTCAGTGCCGATTTTTAAATGCAATTGCCAGCTTTTTTTTTTTTTCACTATAGCTCAGAGAATTAATTGTCACTTTCTCCAGAGCTAAAGGATACTTTGTTTCTTTTATCTCAGGAGACAAACTAAAAAGAAATATTGTTTCTTTTAACTCGGGGAAAAAAAACTAAAAGGAAACTTTCTTTCTTTTAGCTGGGGAAAGTGAAAGCTGATTCTCTGAGCTATAGTGAAGAAAAAAAAGCCAGTAATTACATTTAAAAACCGGCACTGACCTATAGTGACAGCGACTTTTTTATTTACTTTTTTCTGACCTCCAGAAGAGATTATGTGGTTTTCAATGCATTCCTATGGCAAACTGCATTTCGGTTTACGAATTTTTCACAATACGAAACGTCCCGCAGAAAAAATAAATTCGTAAACCGAGGTACACCTGTACAGAGGAATAGTCAATTAAGTATTTGAACTATACTAGTTAGAAAGTTTCTTATATTCTAGGCATTCAAAATAGTCTCTTACATTCTTGAAGTTCACCATGAACTGTGTAGAGGTAAGGTGCTGTAATGGTTGAACCAAAGGTTCATCAAAGGTTGTTCAGACTTTAACCCATCAAGGGGTCGGGAACAGACGTCGTACATATGGTTCCCCCAGGGACCAAATGCAATTTTGAAAGCTGCCTCAAAGTAATGATACTTGATAGACATCTGTATCAGATGTCTTACAAATCGCACCTGAAATTGGCATGTCATCTGACTTTGAAAACGTGCGACTTTACTGTAAGTCGCACAATTTCAAAGTCGGGTTTGGTGTGGCTGGGATGTAAGACTACTCTCTTAACAGGTTGAAAATGCTCCTGTCCAAGGTGGCTTTGTTACTCCTCATATATACAGTAGATGAGTGAGTGTAGCCACTCCTTGGATAATAAGTGTGTTACTGGTTGCATTACCAGGTGGATATAAAGAAAAAAATCTTGAAAAAAAAAGAAAAGAAAACTAAATCAGCCATTAAATCTGAGGATTGGTAAACTGAAATACATTACATTTTTGTTTTTAGGTTTAGATACCCTTTAATAAAATTGGTTATGCATGATATCAAACATACTAAAAGTAGGTTTGGAGTTTGCATACACTTTAATTAAAGACAAGTGAAAATATGATTTCTATAAATGCTAGCAATGGTTAATATTAGGCTACTTATGTTTTGTAAATATTTTGTAAATATAGACAGTCTACAAAAAAAAAGGGCTCCATTCACACTAGGGCATTTTTCAGCTCAACGCCTGACGCTTAGCAATGCTCAATAAGCACAATCCAATTCATTTCTCTGGCCCTTGTTCACAAATGAGCTTTTTTATAGCAAGACACTCAAAAAAGTACTTACGCTACTTTTCAGGTAGATCTGGGCATTTGGTTCCCATAGACTTAAATGGAAAACGCCTGAACAGTGAGAAACAGTGATTTTTCAAGCAATTTTTCAAGCATTTTTTCAAGCTTTTTTCAGGTGCTTTCAACTCAAACAGCACCTATTTCTATTATTGACCACAGCAAAAATGCCTAAATGAAAAAGACCTGAAAAAAAACGCCTATAATATTTACAAATCTGCTAAAGAAAAACTCTTAAAGACACCTGAAAAAAAAACTTGAAAAACATTCAGCTCAGTGGGAATGGATTCTTAACCAACTTTCCCTGTTTTTATATTTTTTTTCCATCATAATATTCGTTGACAAAAAAATAGAATAATAGTAATAATGAAATAATAATAGAATAATAGTAATAATATAATTAATTATTATATATATATATATATATATATATATATATAGTAATAATGAAAATCAAGATATACAGGTGATCTGAGATATTGTACAACACAAATTTAGCAAATTTGCGAAATAATGAATTTAAACGATATTGAAGTTGAAATGAGGAAAAAAAAACACTTAAAAGCATATATGAGGATTTGATGAGACTTTCCTTCCAAGTTAGGTTTTTAGTTCCCATACTTTAGTTTCAATGAAGTCACTAGCATTGCCTTACACTCTAGCAGTCTACAACATAGAGCCTTTGTTTTCTTTTCTGTTCAGGAAGTCGTGTAAGAATAATCAAACAAGAGGACAAAAGTGCCCAGGGCATCGGTAATTCTTGATCTGATTTCATTTGAGGAAAATTCAGGAAGTCAACAGCATCGTAACAATTTGAAATGCCTTTCTCTCTCACAATGAAGGCATGGAGCTTGCATTGATACCTAACCCAACCCCTAAGCACTCCATAATTGTATTATAAATGAGTTTAATTTGACAAGAATCAGGTTATATTGTTTCGGTGTAAATAAAGCCTGCTTTTATTTTAAACCAAACTGGCCCTGCCATTGAGAATAGAACTACACTTCAATACTTTGGATTTCAAGTGATAGAAGAAAGATGCCTTCACACTAGCCAGTAAAGAAAGATTTTTTGCAATCATTCAATTTTAAAATTAGGGTATTGTAATCTATACATAGTCACTGACTTCTTTTAAAGCTGAGCTAAAAAGTACAATGTAATAGTAAAAATGAAAAAGCAACCTTTGCTGCCATATTCTCCTTCAATGCAGAGCGGTCCTCCACAGTACGTCCTTTTGGTCATTATATGTCAGTAGAAGCTATGGGTAGTAAAAGGAAAGTAAAAATGTAGGTGATGCCTTTCATATACCTCAGGGTAGCTCAGTCTCTGGCTCGTGGGCAACCTGTGGCCCTTGGAGCCCTCAGCTGTGGCCCTCAGAGCCCTCAGCTGTGGCCCTCAACCTCAAACTAGGGAAGTGCACTTCCATTATATCATCTTTTCTGAAAGTGCACCACTCCTGCCAGATATGATAGAAGCCTATGGCAAAGCACAGCTAACCCACAGGGAAGCCGCAGGTGCCATTGAACAGTCTTTCTCAACCAGAGTGCCCAGGCACCCTGGGGTACCTTGAGGTTTCTTCAGGGGTGCCTTGGCAAAATGTCTAAAAATTGCCCAAAAATTGTATACAAGCCAGCGGGTGGAACAAGCCTGCCTTTTAGTTACACAAAGCCACAGGTTTTCTAGTGTCGGCGTCCTGACAACTAATGACATCATCATTTGATAAGAAGGGAGTCAGCTGCCTGCACAGCATCATAGTTTGACCCTCCCCTGCCCCTTTCCATCAGTGCTGGGGTCACATAGTTTTTCACATTTTAGAATGCACCTTTTTAAAATTATGAATTTTAAAATTTTTAATTATTTTAAAGGGTGCCTCGGGACCGACTATAATTTTAAAGGGTGCCTTGACTTAAAAAAGTTTGAGAAACACTGCCATAGAGCATCAGTGTAAAGGCAGCCTTATAGAGGGCTCAGGACAGCTCACTTACATTTGCAGTTGGGGGGGGGGGGCAGTAAAACCCCATAGTTGAGATGCATTATTACCACACAACCCAACTGCTGGTGTAGCATCAGGGGTCGCAGTGGTGACCCCACCCTATGCTCCAGGGGGCCTGTGCAATCTCCCTGTTACATTTTTTTTTACACTTGGACAAGAGGGGCGGTGGAGGCAGCATATACAGGAACCACAATGGTGATCCCACCCCATGCTCCAGGGGGCCTGTGTGGCCTCCCTGTCACATTTTGTTTTACACTTGGACAGGAGGCGTGGCGGGGACAGCATTTACAGGAACCAATCCTCTCCATTTTCCTCCTGCAACCTGGCTTCTCCTCTTCTCCCTCTCACCTGCATTCAGTGGCTGCAGGAGGAAAATGTTCATTATGTTATTGAAAATAAAAAAGTTGAAATTCTGAACCATTTCATTTAATTGTCACCTGCAACTGGTTACCAAATCAGTTAAGTGGTCTTCGCTCTTCAAAAGGTTGAGCACCCCCGATATAGCTAAATATTTATTTTAAGGTGCAAGCTTTAAAAAAAAAAAAAAACACCTTAGGCATGGCAAGTGATACATTAGGAAGTGTTTTAGAAGCTTGCTTCTCAAAATATATTTAGTTAGCCATACGAAAAGCATCCCAACCTTTGGCCATTGTGATTATGTGGCCTTGAGTCGCCAATGGGAAAGAGAAATCCATTGCTGCTCTGAACTGCATTAAAGTATATTCATACTTTATTGTATAAGCAGCAAAGCAAACCTTGCAGGACAGCAGGCCAGTTGGACAAGAACCACAGAACACACCTTCTCACCAGGCAGAGCTTGGGAGGAAA